TCGGCTTCTCCTTCCTCTCCCTTCGTGTCTTCGTCGAGATTGTGTCCAGCACCGATCAACGTATAATAGAACCTTCCTCCCCTCGCGCAGATATCCGGAGAACTAACGAAAGAATCCGTCCGATGAAAAGCAACGCGAGAAAACAGAGATGGGCAGTGGTTTCCTTTGACTCTTCGGTGATTTTCTGTAAGAGGGGGGGGATGACAACAAGATGAACTCGGTTCTCTCGTTCTCCGTAACGTGTCGCACCACCAGGCACTTTGCCGCTCCTCAGGAACGCTGTCTTCTGCTTGATCGATCGGCCGGTGTTCGTCGTCGAGGAGTAGAACGGAACGCGCGCGTGCCAAGCTGATCAGAAGCTGCTTTTGTATACGCTGCTGTTCGGTGTACACGAGTGGTGGACACGCGCGCGCCAGTACAGACACGGTACTATCGAGCTGAATGATCGATCCGACTGCTTCTTTCTGTCCAGTGTTTCGCTGGCTGGGAGGCCGGTTCGGAGAGTTACGTGGACGTGGACGGCGATGAGGGAACCTGGTCTGGCTGATAGTACCTCATACCGTTTATCTGAAACAGCCCACGTTTCTCGATCCCGTTAGACATTTGCATTTCAGGCTCCTTTGGGCAGGTTACGGTGCTTGAGGGAAATTTTGCGAGGGATCTTGGTTCGAGATGAAACGGTGATGTCAGGCTTGAAATGTTGGAAATGATACGCTGTTCGAGGATTGGTGATATGGGGCGGGTATAAAGTTTATTTACATAAAGTCGGTTTGATAGGTATTACAGAAGATTCTTTTTGGTGTGTTACTGTTGTTCTTGATGTTACTGGAATTGTGTGATGTGGAAATGGTGTGGAGTGTTTTTATGTGTATATGTTACAAATAAAAATGATAAAAAAAATGTGGTAAACTATTTTACCACTATCATTGTTCTGATAGCTCTTATCTTGTAATTCAAAGTAGGAAGCAGATTTGTTATTTTCATAAGGAAACAAAGAATTAGAATTCTGACAAGGTATTTGTGTGTTAGAAAATATTTTGTCACTGTACCATTATTCTGTCAGCAAGTAGTATTTGTTAGCTCTTATCTTATAATTCAAAGTGGGAAACACATTTTTTGTTTTCACAAAGAAACAAGGAACTGGTTATGGAATTACAACTTGAGAAGGTATTCAGTTTTGTTTAGAATATTTCGCCGACTTTGTTGTTATTCCCAAGAGAAAAGGATTGCAAATATTCTTACCGTCATGTCGTATTCCGTGATATAAGCCGGGATTTCCAGTTGCTCAGGAGACATGACCTCGTAAAGATACTCGACTCCGGGTAAGTTGTGAACCTTCTGCTTGATGGCTGGGGCCATGAACGTAGTGAACCACCACGTCATCATCTGCAGCAGATAACAAACCAATTATTTCAGTTTGCTAAACAACATTACAAAAACAAACACTGTACAAGTCTCTTCTAAAAGAGTGTAACGAGTTTTAGCAAGATTACTTATGAGTTAGAACAGTTAGCTAATGGCTAAATTAAGAAAGACACGTTTATTACAATGACTCATAGATCCTAATTCATTTATCATAATTGAATAAAATAATTAGTCACGTTATCAAGATGATACGAACTACACAAAAACTTATGACTCACGTCGATGACTCATGACCTACATCCAAACCTGCACGCTCTTTCGTCTGAAATTAGCCCTAATTCACCGTGAAATAAAATTTTCCCAATTCCTACGCCGTTCCCCGAATGTTCGAGCGTTTCCCGGACGAACGATTCGCCCTGCCGTTTTCAAGCTAACGAGAGGGAAAACGAAGACAGAAAGGTCCAATTATTCTCCTCCGCTTCGTCGATATCGTCTCCCGCCGCGTTTCACGTTCCTTTGAACCGCTAACAACGCCAGATCCAGTTCACGAGATAGAGATCGGCCTCGCGGAGAGGGGTCAAGGATGCGTGTACACGGATTTGCAACGTGAAAACGCCATTTGCCAAGTGGCTACTCTATACCGGAAGACCCGAACGTACGATACAATCGTAGGTGGTGTGCATGGAGGAAGAACGTGGGAAAAGCAACTGCGTTTTAATTGCTGAATTTTATCGACACCGCGAACCGACACGTGGAACGAAACGAGCCTGCGAGAAAATATTCCGCTTTGATTTATTATCGTTCCACATCTCGAGAGTGGATTGAAAACGATTTTTTTTTTTTTCAAGCGAGAAATCCTCAATCTCTGTATACTAACCTTGGTCCAGAAAGTTGGATGGATAATGTAGAAGTGCTTCAAGTTCTTCTTATACCTGTAAGAAAAATATTTCAACTTAATTAGCGAATGGTACGCCTAACGAAGGTTTCATCGAGAAGACTCGATTTAAACTAGTTTATTCACGAGCAACACTCATTATTGTTGCATCAGGTCTGTTGCTTATCTGCGAATCTACGTTCTCATGGTCACAGCGTCGAATCACGCACGGAACTTGCTGGATCGGTATCATTTATCATACTCCCGATTGTTTACTGCGGATTTTCCTTTTTTTCAAAGTTGCAATTGAGAATCGTCGGAGTTGAGAGAATCCGAAGTTCTCACTTTCGCTTGGAAATTACGAAGAAATACAGATAGAAGTTGGACCTTACTTGTAAGGAAGCACGTTGTACACTTCGCGCAACCATTGAAGGCTAGGGTAGTTGTTGCTGGTCGTTAGCGTGTGGAAATAAGCGATAACGTAGTCGCCTTTGACAATCGGGTCCAGCAGTTGTATCACATACAGCAATGCCTGAAACAGAAACGTGGAATTTCTCGTTACAGCGAATTCTCGAGGAGACTCTGTACAGGATTAACAAGCAGCGCTTCTTTTATCCTCGAATTATTCATACGAGGAGGCTCAACCGTTTGAATTATCGTTTTATATATCTCGCCTTTGATACTCTTCAGCTTCCACGAATTTTTCCGTGAACAGGCTCGCACGGAATACACGTTTTGCCGAGAGATTAATGAAATTTATGACGTCTCCGGAAGCTTAAACAAAGCGAGTTGCGCAACAGAGACCAGTCGTATCTCTTTTTTCGGGTGCAGTTGGGAAAAAATTGTAACTTCAGAACGTGGGTGAGAAATGTGTGCGAATGTAAGCTCACAATGGTGGAATAATGGGAAAAGTTACTTGTCGTTATAAACGGAGGTTTAAGTTTCGTTCTTTATTTTAAAGTAAAACGTTAGAACGAGTTTTATTTTTCATCCGCGATTCTATTCTTCGAAAGATAGTATGTCAGACTTATCCTTGGTCCCTTGTCCTTTAGAACGAGGGCTATTTTAATCCACCTTATTTCTCAAAGAATCCTCTCCATTTCATCGCAGCTTGCAAATCAAACAGCCAATGAAAACCGACGTGAATTGAAATTATCCTCTTTCCATGCATTTATAGAACGAATACTCGCTCACTATTCTCGGTTTTATCAACTCCCTGCAGGGAAATTGTTTAAGTTTAATCTGCGACTGTATTTGTGAAAAAAGGTCCAGAGGAAAATTGTCATCGCTGTTCGATCTTTCTTGGCAATTGGCCCAGATCGAATCTATTTTGTGTTATGCTTGGAACTAAAATTACTACGGAATGGGTATCATTTCACGTTCACAATCTTGCTCGAAGTGTCCTCGAATGAAATGTCCTTTGAAATCCAGCTCAATATTCCTGTTCTATCGTTTTCCAGCCTCGACAATTCCTCAAATTAAAATTACGTTCACTTCATTACTCCATGAAACGTGCATAATGTCGCCCACAATCTTGTTCAAACCAAAATCACCTTGCAATCAAATATCCTTCAAAAATGAGCCCAAATCCAACCCCTTTTCTATCATTTCCTATCCTCATTATTCTTCCTCCCATTAATCCTTCAAATTAAAATTACGTTCAGTTTATTACTCTATAAAATGGGCACCACAATTCTCCTCAAAATGTCCTCAAACCAAAATCAATCTACAAATCGTCCTTTGGAAATGAGCCCAAATCGAATTTTTTTCCTATCAATTTCCATCCTCGTTATCCTTCTTCTCGCGAATCCTTCAAACTAAAATTCACTTCATTACTCCAAGAGACGTGCACAATCCTCCTGAAATCGTCCTCTGAAAACGAGCCCAAATCAAATCCTCTTTCTATTACTTCTTCCAAATTAAAAATCACTTCATTGCTCTACGAAACGTGCATTACACCGCCCACAGTCCTCCTCAAACCAAAATCACCCTACATACATATCGTCCCCTGAAAACGAGCCCAAATCGAATCCCTCTCCTATCATCTCCCATCCTCGTTAATCTCCCAAACTAAAATTCCCCTCGTCACTCTAGGAAACGTGCCCCAAACCGCCCACGATCCTCTCAAACGAAATCAAGCGAACGCGACACGAGGAACGGCAGTGGGTGCCTGCGCTCGCAACCCACGAGTCTTTGATCCCTAGGAAAGCGCACTCGTCATACGTTTTAATCGATCGCGCCGCTACAACTCGAATTAGTACTCCAGTTCCTCGCTCCTGTCGCGCGGGGGTCGTGGAAATCAGGTCGGAGGCCTCGCGCTCCCCCGAAAAGAGCAAAGGAGCGCGAGCGAGCAAGCAACAAGGGAGGAGAGTCTCGACGCGAAAGCCACCGAAAGTTCAAGCGGAAAGTGTGCAAAGGCAGAACGTCCGTTTTCTTCCGGCTGGAGAGAGGACGGTCGTCGCGTCGAAGGGATTTTCCACCACCCCTCGTGCTCTGTTTCTTCTCTTCTCGTTCGTGACGTCAGAAAGTCTGGCCGTGTATTTTAATCCGATATTATGGACGACGTCGCACACATGTAGGTCGAACGATATTGTGATATTAAATTCTGCGTTCTCGCGATGTGCCGCGGCTCGAGGAATTCGCAGATGAAGGATTAGGGCCGTGGAAGAAGCGGGAAGGAGATTGTCCCCTTCTTTGCTCAGATCTTCTATCTGCCAAACTCTTATTTTTGGAGCTTGGAGCTTCAGGTGCGTTTTCCAACTTTCAAGTGAAATTCGAGTGTCTAATTTTTTTAAATTAACTTTTCTTCACCTTTCGGATACTAAATTTTGCAAATGAGAGGTTGCAAAAATGAGTTACTTTTTATTTGGACGAATGTTAAAATGGTAGAAGTGAGACTGGAGGAATTTTAGGAAGACGTAACTTATTGACAAAGAGTTGCAGTTTGATACGTAACCTGCGCAAAGAAAGAGATGCTTCGGTAAAAATGAAACAGAGTAGTCTCTTGATAATACAAAATATTCTCGACTTTGTCCAGACGTACATTCCGTAAAATCTGTTGTCCTCGGTATTGTCTCTTTAACATTCTCGATTTGCGTCAATCGGTTTGATCCTAAGTAAATTGAGACGTCACTAGATATCGCAATTTGTACACAATCAGCTCCCACGAGTAGGGGAGAGCAAACTGTGTACCTTTTCACGTTCGTCACAAAGGATTTACGAGTTCGCGTTAATTCGACACTTTTCCTCGATCTTTCTCTTGACGAAAGAATAAAATTAAACAGAAGCCAAGGGGAACTGAAATACGAGAAAATTTTTTGGCAAATCACTCGAGAGAGTAAGAGAAAGAGAGACATGTTTCCAAGCGTTTTCCACGATAAAAGGTTAAATTATCGTGCTGCGGAAATCCAGAAACCTTTGCCAGAATTAATCAGTCCAGCCAGCCAAGCCAGCTTTTGGACCCGATCCGTCCATTCTTTTTAGCTACACGAAATTACGAGCTTGCCAAGAGAGGGAGAGAGAGAGAGAGATACAAGAGAATACAGAAGAGTTCAAGGCTCGATCGATCTCTCCCCCTCGACGCTCGGTTTTAATCATCTTTTCTGTAAATACGAAACGCTCGGTATAATTAGTTGAATCATCGTTAACCATCGATATCAAACTTATTCGCCGGTAAACCGGAAACCCGCAATTTCCACGCCAATTTGCATTCACCTGCGCATTGTGATTTCTATCGGGGTATCCAAGAAGTGTAACACAGCTCGTTATTCGAAAAAGAAAAAAAAAGAAAAGAACGAGGGACAGAAAAATAAAAAGAGACGATTCAGAAGTCTCGTTTTCAATGATCGAGCGTGGGTTGGTAAGCAGGCGGAACGATAATAAAACGAATTCGTTCAATTTTCAATCGAGGTCGAGTTTACTCGCTCAGCATTGTCAGCACGAGATCTATTTAACTCGAGCTTTCTATCACATCCACAGACACAGAGGCAGGGCAGTATACACGTATTTATGCTACGTAGGAGAACGGAATCGTGGGAAGAATAGAGGTTCGTTAAACGAAATCGAAGGGGCCACGGGTGAAAAGAGCACTGAGCAAAGTGGCCTTTGTATCCTTCTTGGGTCCTCGAGGTGCTCTCCAGCCTCGATGAGTCATCGTGACGCTATGGAAAAAGCGTGAATATCGTGATTCTCGCTTTTGTGGTGCAATAACGTCAGTTTCGGCAATACCATGGTGTGAAATATTTGTCGGGGAATTGGAAGGTTAGAGAAACCGATGTGGAGCTTCCGAAATTCTGGAATTGCGCGATTCGGAAATTTTGCAATTCCGAAGATTCTGAAATTTGGGGAATTATGCACGGGAAAACTTGAGAATCTTGGGGTTTGAAGATTGCAAAATTGTGGAATTGCGAATTTTCTGAAATTCCGCAATTCCAATGTTGCGGGACTCTGGAATTTTAGAATTCGAGCACTGGAAAATTTGAAATCCTGGGATTTGAAGGTTACAAAATTACAGAATTCTACATTTTCTAAAATTCTGCAATTCCAACGTTGCAGGACTCCCGAATTTTGGAATTCACGCATCGTAAAATTCTGAAATATCGAAATTAAAATATTCCGAAATCCTGGGATGTCAAGATTACAAAATTACAAACTTCCAAGTTTTCGAAATTTCAAAATTCTAACATTCTGAAACTCCGCAATTCCACAATTGAAAACTGCCGAATTTCTAAAATTCTGAAATTAAAAGAATTGAATATTTCCGCATTGCCAAAATTGCCAAGTGTCAGCAATTCGAAATTTAAAAACTCCGCAATTCCAAAAACCAAAACTCTAGACACTAAGAACACTCCCGAACACCTTCCTTCACAATCAACCTTCCGTTTCGCCTTAATATCCATTAAAATAACAAGAATTTCCTGCATCGTTAAAACAGCGAAGCTCGAAGGTTCCCACTCCGCGAAAGAGCTTTGACAATTCAGACAAAAGGATGAAAGGAAGAAAAAGAGGAGAAAAAGATTCAAACACCTCTCCTCGAACGTAAGAGAGCGCCGAGCTCTCTGCGTCAAAGGCGGAATATTAATAAACAAAGGCAACGACTTTCTATCTTATCAAAAGGTTCGAGGCTTAAATATCGATGATTTAACGATGGCATAAAATTAAGCCTTGGTGACGAGCTTTAAAACACTCGTTATCTCTATCGCGACCCTGAAATCTCATTATCTCGTCGGCTCGTTTAATTAACGTTCGCCGAGCTGTGAAACACTATTTGCAGCTTCTCTGCGCCATAGTTACGTACAACGTTCGAAAAATCCAAGACGAAGGGTGAAAAAAATCGAAGGAATTTAGATCATCGTTTCTTCGACGTTCATCATACAGGATGCACGTGTATATGTAAAAATATACATTTTATAACGTATAGTACACGAGCTAGTAGTATTTTTGGAGGCAGCCTTCTACGACGCCGTTGTAATTTTTATCTCGTTTCAAGGTGGACCAAAGTAAAATTAGTCGTGCGTCGAGGAAATAAATAAT